TAAGCTCGACTTGACAGCCCAAAAGCCAGAAGAACCAGTAGTCAGTATCCTCGTTGACAACCACACAATGAGGATCGAGGATTATGTCGAGGGAGTCCAGACATATTTTCGCATAGAGGCAGATGGGAAGGTTGAGAGAGTTCTCCATTCCCTGACTCTCCTCGTTGAAGACGATCTCCCTTTTGATATGGTTTTAGGAATGGATTGGGGAGAGGAAGGAGGAGCCACACTTCATTTGCGAGAGCACGAGTGTAGGCTTCCTAGTCCTTCAGGTGGTGTAAAGAATGGTCGTCTGTTGCATGTGTCATGAGTAGATAACTCCCTAGCACATTGTTGTCTCTGTGGTCCTGCGTTTGCGCGATTCGTTAAAATGAAGCAGTTAGAAGGTTAGGATTTTGTAGCCTATGTTAGGCCAGTCACTGAGCCTAAGAAAGAGGAACCGACCAACCCAATCATTGCCAAGTTGTTGGACGAGTACGCAAATTTGTCAGAGGTTCCTTCAAGAGTAGTTGAGCGTCCCACCCAGCATCGCGTTGAGAAAGAACCTGGCAGTAAAACTCCCAAAGGAGCATTCTATAGAATGTCTCCTAAAGAACTAGAGGAGCTGCGTAAGGAGTTAGACAAACTCCTCGACAAGGGTTGGATTAGGCGCAATTCGTCTCCATCTGGAGCATTTGTTTTATTTGTCCCAAGAAAAGGGGAGAGTTGAGAATGTGCATTGACTACAGGGGTCCAAACGCGGTTATAGTCAAGAATGCAGAACCATGCCCCGAATAGATGATCTGCTTGATCATGTGCACGCTTGCAAGTCAGGGTACCATCAGATTGAGGTCCATTCTGATGATCAATACAAAATATCGTTCAAGACTAGATATGGGCATTACGAGTTTATAGTGATGCCCTTTGGACTAACAAATGCACCGGCCACTTTGTATGAATGATTTGTTTAGGTCGTGGTTAGACATATTTGTAGCAGTTCACTTATATGATATCCTATTCTTTAGTAAGACCCTCCAGGAGCATAAGACTCGTCTGAGGCAGATCTTGGAGAAGTTACGCGAGGCAAACTTCAAGATCAATGCGAAAACGTGTAAGTGGGCCAAGACCAAAATCTTGTACTTGGGCCACGTCTTAGATGGAGATGGTTTAAAACCTGAGGACAGTGAGATCACAATGATTAGGGACTGGCCAACTCCTCGTATGCTTATGGAATTGCGATCGTTCCTAGGATTGGCCAACTACTACAAAACATTCGTCAGGAACTTTTCTGTTTCCGCTGCTCCTCTTCGCATACTTCTAAAGAAAGAAGCAATCTGGAAGTGGGAGCAAGATTGCACCTCGACCCTAAAGAAGTTTAAGCGGGCCTTGGTAGAGTATCCAGTCCTTAAGGTAGCTGATCCATCCTTACCCTTTGTCGTTACTACAGATGCGAGTCAATACGACATTGGTGTTGTTCTACAACAAGATGTTGGCAATGGGTACAGACCCGTAGAGTTCATGTCTGGTAGGTTGCCTTCAGAGAAGGTAGCAACCTCAACTTATGTGAGAGAACTCTACGCTCTCAGGCAAGCGTTATTTTTTGGAGACATTACTTGCTTGGGAGACACTTCAAAGTCTATTTTGAGCACGAGACACTCAGGTGGTTGAAAACGCAAGCCAAGATGACACCTAAGCTTACTAGGTCGTCTGCAGAGATAGATCAAATTGACTTCGAGCTTGAAGCCGTTAAAGGAAAGTACAACGTGGTAGCAGATGCTCTGAGTAGAAGAGGTTACTACTTTGGAGCAATCGTTCACTATCTAGATATAGGATTCGACGTGCAACAAAAAGTTAAAGATGCGTACGCTCAGGACCTTGTCTACAGTGACCTTCTAAAGAGAGGAAGAGAGGCTCCAAATAGTGAACCTAACTATTGTACCACTGATGGATTATTGTTTGAGAAGATAGACATGATAGACAGACTATGCATTCCCAACAATGAAGGGATCCACAGTCTGATCTTAGGGGAATGTCACGATACAAAAGGGCACTTCGGCTGGCAAAAGACATTAGCCAACCTGACCTGTGCCTTCACATGGCTTGGCATGAAAGTTGACTGCATAGAGTATGTTCGTAGTTGCAAAGTATGCCAGCGCAACAAAACTATGACGCGAGCCCCATTGGGTCTTCTCAGACTCTTTCCTATCCCTTCAGGACCTGGATAGTCTGTGTCCATCGATTTTATGGATGCTGGGGTTAGGAGTAGGCATGTCAAGAGCTAAGTCATGGTCATAGTCGATCGCTTGAGCAAATATGCAGTTTTTGTTCCTTTGCCTTCTGAGGCACTTACCGAGTTAGTTATAGAATTTTGTTTTGATTCCTGGGTAAGTGAACACAGTATTCCGCTGTCCATAGTTAGTGATAGAGATGTGCGGTTTACCAATCAGAATTGGAAGGAACTTATGAGAGTCTAAGTTGTTGATGTCATCTGGCCGTGATCCTGAGACTAACAGTCAAACTGAACAGATGAACAAGATCCAGCAACAGATACTCATGATGTACATTAGATCAGATCAGATCAACTGGGACGAAATGCTTCCCAACGTACCTAGCGCCTACAACAACAATGTTCATCTAGCTACCAGCCGAACTCCTAACGAATTGCACAAGTCCTTTAGACCACGCAGGTCGTTTGAAGGACTGAACCGAGGCCAAATACAAAGACTGCCACCCATAACTAGAGAGTTTGCACTACAATATGAAAAGGAAATTGCACAAGTGATTGACAACCTGAGGAAGGTTCAACATAGAATAAGAGAGCAAGCTAACAAGTCGTTGGCCATTGCAATTCCAGCTAGGTGATTTGGTCTGGGTCAAGTCAAAGGAGTTCGCCCCAGAGGAAAACATCTCACAAAAGTTATTCCCCGCGTATAGAGGACCGTGGCCTGTCCTGGAAGTGAAAGGTGGAGAGGACGGACCTTCCTACACAGTAGAGATTCCACCACACCTCCACACATACCCAGTCTTCCATGTGTCTAAATTGCTGCCTTGTGTCACCATCCAGCAGTTTCCGTCGCGTCGATCGATGATTCCGCCAGATATGGATGGCACATATGACATAGAGCGTATTATAGAAGAGCATGCGTTTAGAACTGGGGGTAGGGGTCGTCCGCAGAAACAGTCAAAGGTTAGGTTCGCTTATCAGGAACCTGAGGACGACCGATGGTTCACAAGAACTGAACTTTCAAAAACCGCCCCCGACATCGTCCATGCCTACGATAGAGCAAGAAAGGGAAAAGGCCCTGCATTGCATTGAAGTATTCTCGGAGGACCTCGGATTTAGGCCGGCGGGAGTGAAACGGTTTTCACCTACAGCAGTAACAGATGCAGAACCCAGGGCTCGATCCCTAGACCTCCCCCTCACCCGTGTACAGTACCCATTGACCTATGTCTTTGAACCCGCGACCTGTTCCCCAAAAGTCGTATGTTAGGCAACTGTACATAGTGCGGTCGTGAGTTTTTGACCCATAGACCTTAGGATAGGGAGTCATAGGGTTAGCGTAGGTCCTATCCGCTACAGTTCCGAAAGGTCAAGTCCATGACCTTCTAGAAGCATTAGAACGGGCTCTTTGCAGGTCTTAGGAGTCAGTCCGCAGCTGAGTCAGTGAAGGGCAGTCCTAGCACAGTCAGCAAAGGGCAGTCCCAGTCCTACCTAGTCCAGTCAGCAGTACCCAGTCCCGGTCACACGTTGTCTAGTCAGCAAGTACTATGTGGGACTGTGTACACCTCGGGCTCAGGGTCCGAGGGCAGACCAACAACGATCGGAAGTATAAAATAAGAGTCAGCGTCAAGTCATTCATTGATTCTACGTGTGAGCCGTGCGGAAGTGCTGTCGGAGTGTCTTGTGCTACGGAGGTCTACAGGTGCCCGAGGAAGAAGTGGGCAAAGAGAAGGAAGACGCGGCCATAAGCGCAAGTTAGCATAGGAGGTAGACGGCAGCTGTAGCTGCCACGTAGGATAGGGTAGGGAGTGTGTCTGTGCAGACTGTGTGTTGTGTCTGTATGTGTGTACGATATCCAGGGTGATCCGAGCGTGTGTGTGTGTGTGCGAATAAGTTGCTGGTGGATACAGTTGATTGGGTAAGAATTGTTGTCTGGCGCTGCGCGCCATATCCATCAGGACAAGTTTGAATCTGAGCTGTGTTCCTGGCCACGTTTATATCTAAGCTTTGTGTGGGCGCTGTGCGCGCCAAGTTCATTCGTCATCTGTTTGCATGCATGCCGAAGCAAGTTTGAGACAAGTCAGATGGCGGCAGTTACCTGCCAGGTGAGACAGCGAGGAGGACGGCATCTTCTTCTTCTCCCTTGTCTCGCCCTCCATCTCTTCTCCCTCCTTCCTTCTTCTTCTTCTTCTTCTTCTTCTTCTTCTTCTTCTTCTTCTTTCAGAAAGAGAGAGAGGTTACAGGCAGAGGTTACATTGGGCATGATGCCCAGGATCTGATTCGACATTTTGAGGCAGACAGTGATTGGACATTCGGGAGGGAGACTATTTTTGGACTTCGCTATCCCAATCTGGTCTTCTCCCTCACCTCCATCTTTGTCTCGCCTCTCCCACCATCTCTCATCCATGGTATCTCCCCCATGTGCGTGTGCAAGGAGGGACCTTGCTGAGTCTTCTGTTGTGCTACATTATGGTATTTTTCATATGTATCTGGATGTACATTGCTTGTTGATGCTTTGCTGACACTGCATTGTCCATTCGAGTCATTTTCATCACTTTGCGGATCCTTGGCTCCATAAATATTGCCCAACTAGGCATGTATCAATTGCCTCATTTTTAACAACACAAACATTATGGTTAATTTCAAATCGAAACATTGAAACATTGAAACATTGTGCTGAACTTTGAAACACAACACTGAAACATGAAACCAGTACTTCTCGCGCAAGCCATCTGTACTAGACGATGATTATTCTGCTTGTCATCTCCTTGTGGCGCTCCCTGTCTACTGTTGTTACCAGGTTTACATTATAGACTTTGGGCTGGCCAAGAAGTACAGGGATCCTAACACACATCAACACATCCCTTACAGGTAAGATGGTTTGAAACAATATTTCACATTGAGAGTAGCAAAGTCACAAGTAAATGACTTTAATTCCAGGCTGGGCAAACAATATTTCACATTGAGAGTAGCAAAGTCACAAGTAAATGACTTTAATTCCAGGCTGGGCCGGCAACCGGCTGATTCACCTACCCCGGTCCACCCGGATCGGTGGGGGTAGGGGTTGAACCAGAAAACCGGATTAGCCAAAAAAAGTGGGGTCCCTTTCAGCCTTCCAGATGGGTTTATGGGGGGTGGGTGTCTTGAGTGTGCAGACCCAGAAGCAGCAGCATGCACAGTGGATAGAAGACCAGTCCAACAACAGTGTGATTTACAAGAATGTAAAGAAGAAAAGGATGATGAAAACAAGTTCAAGAAGAAGAAGAAGAACTTTCGAAGTTTGTGACTTAGGTGTGGTGAAAAAGAAAGATATCGTTGGCTATGGTAATCTGTGAGCGGGCAGCGTGGGAGGAAGAGGGGGATGAGGAGGAGGAGGAGGAGAAGAAGAAGAAGAAGAAGAGGAAGACTAATAACTTAAAGATGGCGAAAAAAAGAAACAGAAGTTCGCTACGCTTATGCCTATGGCTCAGCAGGGGAGAAGGAGAGGGGGAGGAGAAGAAGAAGAACCTCTGGAGTGCATAACTTTGGTGGGAGGGGGGGGGGGGGGCCGTTGGCTATGGTAGTATGTGACTGGGGGACGTGGGAGGAAGAGGGAGAGGAGGAGGAGAAGGAAAAGAAGAAGAAGACAAAGAAGAAGAGGAAGAAGAAGAGTAAGAAGAAGAAGAAAAAGAAGGGGAAGAACGAGATGACGAAGAAGAGGAAGAGGAGGGAACGGCGCTGCAAAAGGGTTGAGCAGGAGGATGAGGTGGAGGTCTCTCTCTCTCTCCAAGAACCCGACAAAAACGGATGAGGAGAACAAGATGAAGAATTACAAGAACAAGAACAAGAAGGAGAAGAAGAGGAGGAGGAGGAGGAGGACAAAAGATGAAGAAGACGAGGAGGAGTAAAGATAAAGAATAAGATAAGGAGTAGGAGGAGGAGAAAAAGGTGAAGAAGAAGAAGACAGAGGAGGAAGACGAGGAGGAGGAGGAGGAAGAAGAAACGGTGGTGTAAAAGGTCCGTGGTGGCGGTCTCTCTCTCTCTCTCCTTCTCTCTCCCTCTGAGAACCAAGATGATGAAAGAAGCAGATGAAGAAAGAAGAAGAAGAAGAAGAAGAAGAATGTAGGAAAAAAAAAACTATCGACACTGGGTACGCCCACCTTTCAGCAGTTGACAGCGATGGGGGGGGCGGTGCTTTTTGGCAGGCGGGCATGGCGATGGCGCAGGGAGGCTTCGGCGGTGGCGGGCTGGGCGTCATCGATGGCGAGCAGCAGAACAACGGCATCTGCTGGGATGAGCGCGACGCGCTGCATGCCGGCGACGAGAGCGGGGGAGGTTGGTCGGGGCTAGGGGCTACGGGCGCTGGGGAGAGGGGCTACGGGCGCTGGGGAGAGGGGGGACTACTGCTGGGGAGAGGGTGGACTACCGTGTACAGCGCGTTTCGAATTTGAAACGCAACCAATTACGGCTGCCAATCCGTCAGATCTGCGGATGAAATCTGGCGCGTTTGAGTGTAAAAAAATGGGGCCATCGTTCGCCACGTTTTTTATGAAACGCGGCGGCCGATCCCCACTGATCATCGCAGATCGACAGCAGGTATCGGTCTCCGCGTTTCATCGAAAATCCAGGGCCCAGCAACCCCAGTTTCCAGATAGCCTTATGGCAGCGGCCTCGCAGAGGCCGGGCAAGCGGTGGGGAATTCCAAACTTCCCTATACCTCTCCGCCAGGGAAATGCGCTGGGGTCCACTGAGCGCCTGCCGGGCTGGTCGACCGTCCGGTCCGACCAGCAGAGACCTGGTCGTGGAGGGGCCGTCGGTCCATCCGAGGACCAGCCCTGCCTTAAGTTGAGCATTTCGAGTAGCTATTGGCTGAAGTTTGGTTTGTGATGCTGTATGTAGTTCTCCGAAACCAGTTCTTACTTTTCCAAATAAATTCTTGCATGATTGAAACTCCTGCGCAAAATATTGCCGTAAACATGTATAATGCACTTCTAACCTCTAAGGTTATTAGATCTCATTTAAACCACTTGTACTTCCTAAAGTTGTGCCCATTAACAAGCCACAATTTCAGGAAACATATGTGCCAGTACAGAAGCGCCCAGATTCATCCGACTAGAAACGTTTCTACTCTATTTTTTTCCGCGGCCAATAGCTGGGCCAAGCACTGGTGGTTTAATGACAGGTTTGTTTGTTACTTAGGTATTACTGTTTTGCAATTGCTTTAAACCACCATTGCACCTGCCGCATTGTAAATGCCTTGTTGGGCACCCACAACTTGCCTCAGGGTGGGTAAGGTTACTGGCTGCAGGTGGTGACCTGAAATGGTATTCACCAGTTCGCAGTAGCCGATGCAGATCCCAGGGCTCGATCCCTAGTTCCCCACCTTACCTGTGTACAGTACCTGTGTCAACCCGTAGAGTTGAACCTGCGACCTGTAGGACCGCCAGTGGTAGGTAGGACATCGTAGGTTACAGGGTATAGGGGATTCGAACTGTAGACCTGTCGGGTAGGAGTCCAGCCAGTCCGGTCCAGTCAAGCAAGTACCGTCTGGGACTGTGTACACCGTGGGCCAGGGAAACAGGGCAGACCAACGAGTCACAGAAGTATAAATCAAGAGGCCGCGCACAGCCATTCATTCATTCCTGCGGAAGCCATGCGGAAGCGCTGCCTCAGCGTCTTGTGCGAGGAGGTCTGCAGCATGCCCGAAGTCGAAGTGGGCCAGAAGAGCGTAGCATAGCGATAGCGTAGCGGCAGCCATAGCTTCCATAGCTGTAGTCAGTGTGTGTGTGTTGTGTGAGTGTGCAGAGTGATGCGTGTGGGATATCCAGGGTGATCCGGTGTGTGAACAGGAGTTGTTGGGCGCTGAGCCGCCATAGACAGTTGAAGCGAACTCTTATCTGGACACCATATCTCTGAGTTCTGTGTGGGCGCATGTCGCCAGTTTGCTGTGCTGCTGTTTACACGCATGAAAAGTGTGGATGAGACGCGTCTGATTGCATTGGTATCGGAGCTGGTACCCGCTATTCCATTCGCGCCGTCGTGTGCAGGTACTGAGGCGCCATAGCAGAGGTGGCCGCTGAGGGACACAAGTCCGCCATAGCGGACCTGGGGTTGGAGAAGCCACCGCGCACCTCCGTGAAGATCATGATGAAGAAGAAGAGAGAGAGAGAGAGAGAGAGAGAGAGAGAGAGACGAGTGATACAAGACTGGGTTACTACCTGCTGCGCTAAGGATACCGCTACACAAAAAGAGAGAGAGAGAGAGAGAGAGAGAGAGAGAGAGAGAGAGAGAGATGAGCGATACAAGTTTGGTTGTCACTTACCTGTGAAGCGAGCTGTGCAGTCCCACGAAGGAGGAAGAAAGCGGCCATAGCCGCGAAGCATCATCACGGAGTGACGAAGGAGGACAGAGAAGGGGGGACCGAGGAGAGAGATAGAGCAAGGAGTGTGGAAGGAGGGACATC